CAAACATAGTGTAGTACTAGAATTTCGACTAGAATGGGATACGTTAATCGGTTTGCTTGGGACCAATAGCCTAGTCAAGTAGTGAGCCAATTTTAAATCGTTAGGTTCCACCGGTTGGTAATATCATAGAGGTAAGACGGTAAGACCACTGGGTCCCGAAGAAAATCATTATTATTTTTGGCTCACTCAGTACCAGAACAACGGTCCCAAGCAGTCCCAAGCAGTCCCAAGCTATTTCACTCACCCCTGCATGTTCTGCATGAATCCACACACCCCTGATGTTATCTGTCAAACTTTCATAGCGAATCAAAACAAACATAGTGTAGTAATAGAATTTCAACTAGAATAGGGTACGTTAATCGTTTGCTTGGGACCAATAGGCTACTAAAGTGGTGAGCCAATTTAAAATCGTTAGTTTCGTATTGATTGTTGGTAATATCGTGCCTTTACTGACTACACTCATAAAATTCTACACATTTTTATTCGCAAATTTCCATGTAAAATTCCACGTGATTATCATGTGTCCACCTCGGTGTCCACACATAAACAGAATCCACTCAGAAGTACACATGAAATTTATGAGTCAAATGAATAGTATGTGTGGTTATCATTGAATTTTTATTAGTGTAGGCTATGAGGCCCCTCAAACAAACACTATCTTTGGGTTGGGGTAAGACTCCCCTATCCGATGATGCCGGTAATTTGCGTTCTATTGTCGGTGAAAGAATAACCAATGTTTGGTTTATAAAAGTTGATAGGACCTTTTCAATTGTTGGTCTACACTATATTGAATTGGTTCCGCTTTTTGATAGATCGAAATTCTATCCGCCAGACTATGAATATAGCGACTATACCCTAACTAGAGTCGATGTATAATGAGTCACGCCAAGAGTGAAGCCAAGTCTACCTATTGAACTGTCAAACCGGCAGCCTATCGCGCAAAGTAAACAAACATTACGATGATATGAAAGGTCCACGAAAGGTATTGCAATAAAATATAAAATATAATCGAAGAAATGATCATACACCCGCAGTGAGCATTTAATTGTCATGGGATACGTTTGGTAATGATCAGTAATGAGAATTTCTTCTCTTTTTTTGTTAAGATAATTTGACAAAATCACTTATATAATGATTTACTCCGGCGGTTTTTTTTTTCTCGCTAAAACTCATTTGAAGTTGATGTAGAAGTCTTCTGTTGCCAAGTGAAAAGAAAGGGAATCTTTCGAAAACCGTGATGCGAGTTCAACTGTTTTTCTCTTGGCGTGACTCATTATCCAGCATTTTACGAGCGATCATGGCCGCCACAATCTGGTTGAGTTTCTGGTAGGGAACATATGATTTGAAGTTTGGCTTGTGTCGTTTGACCTGTAAACGCTGTCCAGACTGGAGAGTTATAACATGTTATAACGGTTGTCAACTAATTGCAACACAGAAACCACCATCAAGATAGCGCTATAACATGTTATAACGCTGTAGTCTGAACGTACTATTATTCCAGTGTTTCTAGGATATACCGACTCTACCTCTAACAAAATCAAAAACCCCCCGCAACTGAAAATAACGCTTAGTGGATTTGAATCAGTTTACGTGAAAACGTCGTTAACTCAAAAGTGAGTCAACATAATAGCACAAACGAAGTGACAGACGACTAGCTGGCGAAGAAATCCATTTAAATAATGTGGTTCACTGTAATAGAATTTTCTTGGAAGCTTGTGCCATCATCCACCAGATGGGTTAGTTTTTTGTTTTGATTTGAACAAAGTTGATTTTGTGTACAATGATTCTTTGACAGTGTGCAAAGAGTGCGTATCATTTTGTCATTTTTTTATGCATTTCCGTTTTGAGTAGAGTGAAAGAGATAGAACCAAAACATTCTAGTACATTTGGTGAAAATGCTAGTTCAATCCAGTAGTAGTGTTGCCATGTGGTTCAATCCAGTAGTAGTGGTGTTGCCATGTGGTACACCGAAAAATTGCAATAGCAAGTGCGTCACCAAAGTTTTCGAGCTGCTCCGTCTGTCACTTCGTTTGTGATAATAGTACGTTCAGACTACAGAGTTATAACAACAATCAATACGAAACTAACGATTTTAAATTGGCTCACTACTTTAGTAGCCTATTGGTCCCAAGCAAACGATTAACGTACCCTATTCTAGTTGAAATTCTATTACTACACTATGTTTGTTTTGATTCGCTATGAAAGTTTGACAGATAACATCAGGGGTGTGTGGATTCATGCAGAACATGCAGGGGTGAGTGAAATAGCTTGGGACTGCTTGGGACCGTTGTTCTGGTACTGAGTGAGCCAAAAATAATAATGATTTTCTTCGGGACCCAGTGGTCTTAAACGCTGTCCAGACTGGAGAGTTATAACATGTTATAACGGTTGTCAAATAATTGTAACACAGAAACCACCATCAAGATAGCGCTGTAACATGTTATAACTCTGTAGTCTGAACAAGGCATTAGAGTTACCTCTATGGTTATAACATGTTATAGCGCTATCTTGATGGTGGTTTCTGTGTTGCAATTATTTGACAACCGTTATAACATGTTATAACCATAGAGGTAACTCTAAGACCACTGGATCCCGAAGAAAATCATTATTATTTTTTGGCTCACTCAGTACCAGAACAACGGTCCCAAGCAGTCCCAAGCTATTTCACTCACCCCTGCATGTTCTGCATGAATCCACACACCCCTGATGTTATCTGTCAAACTTTCATAGCGAATCATACAAACATAGTGTAGTAATAGAATTTCAACTAGAATAGGGTACGTTAATCGTTTGCTTGGGACCAATAGGCTACTAAAGTGGTGAGCCAATTTAAAATCGTTAGTTTCGTATTGATTGTTGTTATAACTCTACAGTCTGGACAGCGTTTAAGGCTACTCAATTTTGAGTAGCTCTACTTGCCGCTGAGATGAGTACATTCGACTCAATTTTGAGTTGACCAGAATAAGCGTGATATTAATTGGCAAATCAAAGTTGGTACTCGTGGAGAATAGAAGAACTATAAAAGTGATGATGCACAGCAAAAAAAGTTGTTGAATATTACATCGAAACTGCTGCAACCAGGTCAATCCATCGGTTGTGTAATATCACATTGTACGATGTACATCGATTTTGCGAACAAAATTACATCCATTGATGTAATATTGTATCTGCTTTTTGCTATTACATCATTATTTCATACATCAGCTTGAATTACGTTGATCGATATTACATTTTTTTTTGCTGTGTGGTTTCAAAATTTTCCACGGGGAAGTATACGAGTGCAATCTTAAAATGCTTTTATTTTGCAAATCGAGCATTTTATTTAAATCTGGTTGGTGCTATGTTAGTAGAAAACTTAAGGACTACTCAATAGACAAATAATATAGAAAAATTCATTTCTTTTCAGATTTTTAGGTGTACACATAGATTTGAGCTTTTCTACACACAAAAAATAATCATTGCTAAAATTAAAAAATCCGTTGGTAGAATTAAAAGTTTGCGTTGGTTCTTTTTGGTAGAAAGCGGTAAGCTTTCAATACGAAAATCAGCCAACCGTCAAATCAAAAGTTGCCTGCTCACTGCTTTTAAAAGTTGAAACTATCAAAATTAATTGTACTACTGTCAAATCAAAAGTTTGGCAGTGTTGGAAATAAAAACGGATTCATGTTATTTCAAAACAAACTTTTGGATTGAACATGAGATAATATTAAAACAATAAGTGCTATTTTGAATAGAAGAACATAATATTTTGAAATTGATAACGAAGATTTTTAACAAAATTACTTAATTTTTCATTTTATATTCAAAACAATCGTTTGGATTTCAAGCAAAAATGCTCAAAAATTATTTACTTATTTATTTATTTTTATTCTGGTTTACAACATTAATTTAACGTTATGCAACGAAAGATATAAAAATTGCTCCTGCTGCTAGGAGGCCAACTTTTACAATGAAGGCAGAGGTACCGTAGCGCTTCCAAATGGCTTGATACTTCAACAGGTCGTCCTGGCAAATTGCGTAGTCTGCTAGAAAAAAAAAATCTAAAAATCCGAAACTATAACATTGAAAATATCGAACTTACCATTTGGAATGTCAATTGCACTTGGATCACTTCGTAGATCCAGCAAATCATGCTGGAATATCCATTGAAGAAAAGATGCTGAATGGGAAGAATCACTAGAGTTGCTACTTCTGAGCTGGATGTCATATTCACAGCAGCCAGACTAACGGAAAAGGCGGCAAGAGATTTCAGTGCAGCCAGTAAAAACATCGATGAAGGGGTATTTTTGACAGTTGTAAAATTTTTGTTTTAAAACTATGCACTTTTAAAATCACGGGTCAAAAGTGAAAGAAAAACTTTCAATTTGAAAAACTGACTTTTATTTCGAATATTTTCATTGTTGAAACAAGGAATTTAGGGACACTTTTAAGTAAAAAATGCATTATTTTTATTGATACAATTTTTGTTGTTTGTGTGTACCACTGTAGCAGCAACCAGATTTAAATAAAATGTTCCATTTGCAAAATAAAAGCATTTCGACAGTGAGCATGCATAAGGGCGAATACGTGATGATCGATTCTCTTCATCGATTTTCTCTTTGCATTGCTACAGCTAAGCGAAACAATTTTCTAGAATTTGTTCAATGCAGAGTAGTAAAAGGTTGTATTGGGTATCAAAAGCAACAGCAAACGCACCGAGAAACGTTAAATCTAGCGAGTTATTAACAAAAGAGAAAATCGACGAAGAGAATCGATCATCGCGTATAGGCCCTTATGCATGCTCACTGTCGATTTTAAGATTGCACTCGTATACTTCCCCGTGGAAAATTTTGAAACCATCATCACTTTTATAGTTCTTCTATTCTCCACGAGCGCCAACTTTGATTTGCCAATTAAAATTTTAATGAATCTACTTGAAGAGTTTGTCGGAGTTCACATTTCCCAACAGCTCTCGGTTTATTCAAATGTCACTTCAATGTTGACATTCGATCACGCAAATAAAAAAAAAAGAAGAAATCCATCACTCGCGGTTCTGATTTTTCGTTTCGGCTGGTGCTTGGAAGAAGAAAGAACGGGAAAAGTTTTTCTTGTTTTTGCCTTATCCGGCTAATAATATTCGCATCGGATTGTTTAATCCGTTGAATTTCCTGTCCGCCCAGTTAGGTTCCCGGTGTAAAAAGAAACCACTTCGAAAATGGCCGCGATTTCCACAACCGAGAAGCCGCATATGCAGCAAATCGATCTCAACACACTTAACCTGCAGCAGCTGACACAGCTGAAGAACCAACTGGATCAGGTACTTTGAAACCGTGCGTGGGCCGACATACGACTTACACTAATGATTAAATGGAATTTTGTCTTCTATTCGGTGATTGGCAGGAGCTGACCGTTTTTCAGGAATCTTTGCAAACACTGAAGATGGCTCGCGTAAAATATTCCGGCTCGAAGGAAGCTCTGGAGCAATTCAAGCCCGACTGGAACGAGAAGCAGATTTTGGTCCCGCTGACGGGGTATGAGTCACTGACTTAATCATTTCGATTCCATTAGTTATAATGTAATTTTCATTTGCTTCTCAGGAGCATGTACGTTCCGGGAACTATCAAGGACGCAGACAATGTGATTATAGATATCGGAACCGGATACTATGTGGAGAACGTAAGAATAATAAGAATACATAATTCGATAATTACAACTAAACTATTTATAACGTCCGACAGGACCTGGACAGTGCTAAAAACTTCTTCAAGCGGCGGGTAGATTTTGTACAGGAACAGATGGAAAAGATCGAAGTGTTGGGCATGGAAAAATCGAAAATTCGGGACGCAATTCGCGAGGTGATGGAAATCAAGCTGCTACAGTTCGAGAAGGAATTACAGAAAAAGCGGGAAGGAGCCACCGAATAATTATGCTTAAGGATTTGCCGAGCTTTAAACTAAGACGTCTCATTGCTTTCTCCAACGCGAAACCGAAATAGTGTCTAAATCATCCGTTTCGAATCATCATCGTTGCAATTAAATATTATTTATCTTTTACAACAGTGCGATTGAATCGAGTTGTCTTACGCAGTCGTTTAACTATTTTTGATTACAACATTCGCTATCTCCAAAATATCCTGCTATCAAATAATTTGTTCGTTTTCAACAGGGAATAAAATGTGCATTTAACCGACTGGCACAAGTTAGTTTGAGACTGTTGATTATGGAAAGAAACAATCGAATTGCATGTTGGTGACTGCATGGATATCATGAAGGAAAAAAAAGTAAGAGGTTGTATCCAAGACACGACCGTAGATTTGACGTAGGATTACGAAAGGTAGTTTTGATTTCACAGCAAAAGTATAGTAGGGTTAACTACCCTATTTCCGGCCTGTTAAGCATAACCCGCACTTAGTCTTTCTTAATCTAGTTCAGTTTAGCACCAAACGGAATGTTACTATTACTGATGGCTTCCAAATTTATTTACCTTTCCGTACGTACCATAAGATTTGATAAAGAGAAACCAATCGTTGAGATATTGTCAAAAGTCTAACACTGCTTCTTGACGCCAAACTCGGCCTATGGATTTTAAACTCGGCCTAACGCATTGAAACGCTAATGAATTCACTTCGGCCTATCGGATAAAGATAAAAATTGATTCGGTCGGAGCGCTTCTTTTGTTTTTGGGAATAATGGGTGCAAACCTTCATATCACGCGTTCTCATTGACTTCGTTCGGTAGATTGTTAGCTGAAGTATCGTACCAAACGCATAATTGACTTGTTAACTATTTATTTGAAGTTTTCTGCTCGATAGGCCCAAAATGGGCGATTAGGCCGAAGTAGTTCTCTACCCTATATATTAAATTGATTTCTTAACGCGTTATCAGTGAAAAAGTTCGATAGGTTTAAATTCGGAAGTAAGATACAAGCTCTTACTCTTTAGTTAACTCTTTTATCAGTCATTTGTGGACCGATGGGTTGGAAGCTTGGAAGCCAGTTTAGAACAATGATGTGGAAATTTGTCCTCAATGTTCTTGGAGATGATAGCGGTGCGGAAATGAAATATGTATAAGGAAAAAACACATCCAGGCCTATTCTGCGCGGCGTGTGAGGTGAAGTGACAGTGAAGTAATGGTGAAGTGACAATTGTCACCTCGGGTGATGTGACTCTCCGTGCAAATCAAATGGAGAGTCACCTCACCCTAGGTGACAATTGTCACTTCACCATCACTTCACCTCACACGCCGCGCAGAATAGCCCTGATCAATCACAGAATCTGAGCCTACCGGAAGGTACCTACGTTTAAATTCGTACTATTTGGTAGGCTTCTTGTTCCTGTCCGTGCATTACCCTGCACCGATGATTTGCTTTAAGTGCGGTTCCTACGGTCATCGAGCAAATTTTGCGATGAAACAGGTATTTGTCTGCAATGCTTTGAGACACACGACCCAGCAGATGGAGAACAATGCAAGAATGCACCTTACTGCAAACATTCCCCCCTATTCTGCGAGTCACGTGACTCTCTCTCACCGGTGAGGTGACAATAGTCACCTCGTGTGAGGTGACTCTCCATTTGATTTGCATGGAGAGTCACCTCACCGGTGAGAGAGAGTCACGTGACTCGCAGAATAAGGGGGAGTATAAGCAGAGAGAACCCCGTTCAAATTCCTATTCCTACACAAAACACAAGTTCCTGCTGTAGTGACAAATAATATTTATTAAATAAGACCACGTAGTCCTACGTCACCATTGCTTACTACCCCCCTTGTATTGTTTTTTTTTTTTATTTGTATTTCGTTGGCCATGGTGCTTTTCTTAGTCTCCTCAGAATAAATTTTACGGGCTTCGGCGTTTGCAATTTTGCGGACAACTTGCATACGGATAATGTTCTCTTCGTCCTTTTACTTCTGGTATGTGCGTGAAGTGCACGAGTGAGAGCCCTTGCAATCCCCCTTATTCTGCGAGTCACGTGACTCTCTCTCACCGGTGAGGTGACAATTGTCACCTCGTGTGAGGTGACTCTCCATGCAAATCAAATGGAGAGTCACCTCACACGAGGTGACTATTGTCACCTCACCGGTGAGAGAGAGTCACGTGACTCGCAGAATAGGGGAGCACTCTTTCGTATTGACCTGCAGGCAGCCTTTCGTTGTGTACTGGAGAACACCACCACGCACAACGCGGTGATTGAATAAACACCACTTGGTGAGACCGGATGGAATTCAATTTTGAAATCTGTGTTAGGGAAATCGCTTTTCGCCGGCAATCGGTGATAATTTTAATTATCACTGTAACAGTAGCACATTCGTGCAATTTTTAATGGTGACATTTTGTAAAATTATAGCCTTAAATATTACAGATGCGTAGAAATATTTCTGATCGATTGGTGATAAAACTACTGAACTTTGTCCAGGGGCAGCTGAGTTATTAACGTTCAAAATCTTTCGATTTTTTCCCTTGGTGAACTTAGTGAAATATCGCGAACTTTTCCAACACTTGCTACCCGATGCTGAAACACATACGATTGATTGAGACGAGTGACCGGCCCAAACGTTGACTATACCTTCCCTCAAAATGCATTTCAACATGATCCTGCAATCCACACGGACAAGATAGTGAACAGCACTGAACAGCCAACGAAACCATACCTACGCCAGGCTAAACAGAACTCGCTCTACAATGAACCAAGAAATGCAAAATGGTTTGGAGCCCCAGCAAAGCATCTCAGCATCAGCAATTACTCAGCCTCGAAATATCGATCATCGATATCGATTTCAACCTCCAGAAAAGGAAGCAGGACTGGATGGAAAAATTCTTCCGGAATTTTTCTCAAGGAAATCTTTACCAACCGCAGCATTAGCTAAATCTACCTTCTATGATCAACTAAATAATCTACAAGTGGAACCGGGTACGTCGTCAAAAGGAACTGTCGCTGAAACACCTGATTCGCCAAGCGCGAGGCTCTCCACGTCGACCCTGACCAGAGATGTTCTGAGCCCGCTCGATGAGCCTCTGGCAAGCCTCATCAAGGGCAAGTATTTCTCAACTAGTAATAAGCTGTTATCCATCGCAACCTACTTTAAAAAGTTACGTTTCACCCCAAAGCTCAACTGTGAACGTTATCAAAAAGAACCGTTGCCAAACATCTGATTCGCCAAGGGCGAGGCTTTCCACGTCGCCCTTGACCAGAGATTTTCCGAGCCCGCTCGATGAGCCTCTGGCGGCAGTCGACGTGGATCGTCCGTTACCAAGGGCAAGTATTTCTCAACATGTAATGAGCTGTTATCCATTGCAACCTACACAGTTCATTTCTGTTCAATTTGATGCACATCAATGGAGCGTCAAATATCATATACGTTTACATTATAAATCATGTAAAGTTCTAGCACATTTCATGCAATGTAACAAATATTGTATACAAAAGCCCATCTTTGTAAACAACATTGTTTGCAAGTTGCTCGGTTGCGTGAAATGAAATACAAGTCTATGTGTTTGAATGTTTACATCACAATAAAAATTCAGAATTTTTATCTGTGTATTCCAAAATGCCACCCAGGGAGAAATCGAAATTTGCCGAAACTCCGACATGGCAACTCAGCAAGCCTCATGCTACTGTCAACATAAAAGTCCTCAATAGAACGCGTCCCAGACATCTTACATCTCTCCGCAAGATAGAAGACCTCCAACACCATCATCTTCAGCAAATACGCACAATACTTCCGATGGAATACCAGAAAATCGCCACCGCATTGCTTTTCAGTAGAATATCTATGGCTTATACCGAAACCTGAGTGACTTGGACATCATGATCAACGGCGATGATGCACTAACAGTCATGTCATACAAGAACACGTTCGACCGCACGCTACACGTAATCTGGCTTCTTTGCTCCAGGGCGCTGACCGGTAGCACAAACGAAGTGACAGACGGAGCGGCTCGAAAACATTGGTGACGCACCTGCTATTGCAATTTTTCAGTGTACCACATGGCAACACCACTACTACTGGATTATACCACATGGCAACACTAAATATACTAGAATGTTTTGGTTCTATCTCTTTCACTCTACTCTCACTTGGTTCGCGTGTAAAGGGCCTTAGAAAGTTTGTTTACAAATGCTTTTGTGCCGTTATCAAATGTTATGCCTGAGTTGATTTTGTTTAGAAGGATTCTGTGTAATAAATTTTACTTTTTCAGGATAAACGACACATATTAGTGCAATGCGCTTGCTTGCTGGAAGATTGCCATTGGGCGGAAGAGCACACGGAGCTGCTGCTAAAAGTGAGCCGGGTGGTGCTCAAGGCGATATATGATGCACATACGAAGAAGCAAACGGATCAGCAAAAGTTGATTTTGTCTGGATTGAATGTGATCTGCTCCACCACAATTCGATTGTTGCGGCATTGGTCCGAGTCCGACGAGTTGGCGATCCGGGCGAAAGCAGTAGGGATCTACAACGATGTGTTCGATAACTCAACGGCGCTGCTGTATCGACTGTTCACTGTGTATCAGAAGCGGCCAGCGAAATTTTTCGCATCAGTGATATATAGAGAAGTTTAGCGAGATGGAAATGGCAGAATTATTCCACAAGAGTTTGCCTTATTTGGAAATAATTCTTAGCTTGGGTGAGGCTTCCAAGCAGTACATACAATTAGTGGAGATTCTTAGTAGGGTTAACTACCCCTTTTCCGGCCTATTAAGCACAACGCGCACTTAGTCTTTCTTATAGCGAATTCGTTTATTATTCAGTTCCAACCTGGTATCAAGATTGGGTCTGCTTGTTTTCTGACAAACGTCAGTTTGCTCGTTTGTTTTTAAAATCTAGATCAGGTTGAGGTTCGCACTGACAAAAAGTTCGGTTTCGCACTGGGTTGGAACTGGTTCCAGTCCCGATAATAAACGAATTCGCTATTAATCTAGCACAGTTTAGCATCAAATGAAATGTTATTATTACTGATGGCTTCCAAATTTATTTACCTTTCTGTACGTACCGTAAGATTTAATAAAGAGAAACCAATCGTTGAGATATTGTCAAAAGTCTAACACTAAATTCGGCCTAACGCATTGAATCGCCAATGAATTCACTTCGGCCTTTCGGATGAAGATAAAAATTGATTCGGTCGGAGCGCTTCTTTTGTTTTTGTGAATTATGGGTGCAAACACAGAACAGAAGGAGAAGTGCAAACAAATTTGTGAATCAAAAAG